AGGGATTTTGACTATTCTTTATAAAGGATAAAGGGATTTTGACTATTCTTTATAAAGGATAAAGGGATTTTGACTATTCTTTATAAAGGATAAAGGGATTTTGACTATTCTTTATAAAGGATAAATCCTTTGTAAAGGATTCTTTGTAAATTTCCTTTGCATAAGAAGATTCTAAACTATATTGTTAAAACAACATAGTATAATGTATGAAATAATGACTAGCTTCAATACCCATAACCTTATTATAATAGTTCATTTAAACGATGTCAGTGTGTTTTGGGAAACTGTTGAGAGCACAGTATGCTCATGTCATATGTTCACTTTACAACTTAGACTTGAACTGAGACATCTCTTAGAATAAGCATGATTTTATGCATAGCTTAAAGGCTTTATGTGAGAGAGACATCATCCCTCTCACATAAACAAAGGCTGTAAGAAGTTCCTCTCCTTCTCCTACTTGCTTTCAGCATGTAGAATTTTACATTCATACCATTTGTGTGCTTCAAAAACTTTTCAGTTGCCTGTTTATCAGGTATGGTTGCATATTCTTTGTTTCTATCCTATCAGCACAGTTCCCTGCGTGTAAGCAGTTTGAGGGGGAAGCAAAGGGAAAAAGCTAGAGTTAGCCATTCTCTGTCCTAGAATTTCCCAGCATTAACCTTGTCCTTAAATATATATATGTACTATTCCCTTAAACCCTAAGAGGCTTTGTCTCTTTATATCCTATTCTTTTGCTTTACCTTATCTTACCTATTACTCCTACATTCTATGAAATACCCCTTGGATCTGGATTGATTATACCTGATTTTCTCTACTGTGCATAAGAGGTATATTGTGATTGTGAATTTTCATATACTGTGTTTGTAAGAGTCTCTAATTTTCTGATCTCTGCAGCACAGTTTCTAATCCAGTGCCGCCAGCTGCTGCAGAAAACATTCCTGACAGTGTTGCCACCACACCTCAACTCGGCTCTCGACACACAGCAAGTTGGCACAGTTTTGCTCTGAAGCCACAGGAGCAGCAAAACTCAGCATGTGATGACTGCCCTGTGATTAGGAGCCTTTCTGTTGGAGGGAAACTGTCATTCAAAACTCCAAGTGGAGGCTCTGATATCATCATTAAATTAAGGAGCAAACTGAGGAGGTAAGTTTCAAGTGATGGTAGTTGTTTTAAGGTAAACACATTGAGCATAAAGAGAATTGTTAGTACTCTCTGTTGCAGGTGGCAGAAAATCCAGTCCAAACAGTCTTAAATAAAAAAGGCATGTGATAGGTCATGCAACTAAAAACGTCCAGGCCTAGAGTCAGGGTTCATTTCCGAGTTCAGCCTCCTCTTTGGTGGTTCCACGACTGAGCTCAGCACCGTCAACCCGACCTCTTCCTGCACACGGCTCTGCTCAGGCCCAAGCCTGGGCTTGTCTCCTTGATCTTGTGTGCCGGCTCTGGGCATCTCTGAACCTGTCAGTGGCCAGGGTCGCTGGGAAAGTCTGGGGTGGAGTGAACATCACCTGCGGCCCAGAGAACATAGAGCTGCTTCCCCTAAAGTAAAATGTAAGGATTGCTGCCTCAGGAAAAGAATGGACTCTGAGTGGCAAGCGAAGGAAACGATGGCCTTTGTTCCCAGTCCTTCTCTGACTATACAGAGCCATTCTCCAAGGCAGAGGGCAGAATCTTCAAACAAAAATGCAGGGCCAGGCAGCTCTTCTTGAACAATTTATTTTAAAGCCCCGTGGGGATGATCAGAATCCCATTGGCTAGTTGCTTAAGTAGTCTGTTCTGTTAGGAGAACATTTCCTGAGCCCCTGCTTTGTCAGGCTTTCTGCTGACACTGGGGCACAGTGACAAGATGATAGCTGTCTTTGAGGGATCTCCAGGAAGGAAGCGTCGCTACGGTACAGTGTGGCATGCATGAACTGAATCCACAGCAACAAGTGATTGCACTCTCATTGGGGGATGCATGCGGGAAGACTTCATGGAGGAGGTGACCTCTGCTTGAATCTGGAAGAGTGAATGGAAGATGCCAGCCCTTCAGGCACAGGACAACACAGGTCCTGGAAGTGTTTTCTGACTTGGTGCTTTACCAAGGGACTGCACGTCATCAGGAGGGCCAGCAAGTCCAGTTGCAGGAAAAATGATGGAAGGCAAAGCCTGGAGAGATGGCAGGGGTCCAAGGATGTGTGACTTGCACGTCACGCAGAGGAGTCTGAACTTGATCCTCAAGACTCAGCATGCTGCAGAAAGGTGGTTGAGTAGATGAGTGACAAAGTCCAGTTAATTTTTCAGGGAGTTCTGGGCGGTTGAGTGGATAGACTGGAGGTGGGGGTAGAGGCGGGAGCCCAGTGAAGGTGAGGCCTGAGGCTCTGCTCTGAGACTCAGCAGGAGAGGAGAGGACGGGCCAGCTGAAAGGCTGTTCAGAAGCCGACACCAACAAGAATTATGCTTGCATACGGGAAGTGAGACAAAGGAAGAACCTGCTGGTTTCCAAGATCCAATCTTTTGGAAGGATTTTGGTGAAAGACACTGGAAAAACAGGATCAGAATTCTGAATCCCTGCTTATCCTTGAAGGAAAGAAACCACGCCTTTGGAATTCTAAGGGCACCATGACTGAGCTGGATGGAATTCAGGAATAATGTGGTCCTGGGGAGACTCCTGCGGGTGGTCTAGTCCAGCAGCTGTCTGTGCAGTGGGACTGCAGACTTCCAGCCTCTCTGTCACTCTTTCTGTGTCTATAAACAGTTAAATTTTTCTAATTAGTTTTTCCTTCCTGAAAAAAAAGGGGATCTCTTGACCCCTTAGGCATTTTGACTATTCTCTTAAAGTATAAAGGAGTCTACATAAAGGATTCTTTATAACTGGTCTTTAGGTAAGAAGATTCTAAACTATATAGTTAAAAACAACATAGGATACTCTGTTATTTAACCACTAGTTTCTATACCCATAACCTTATTATAATAGTTCATTTAAAACATGTCTGTGTGTTTTGGAAACAGTTTGAGAGCACAGTGTGCTCACGTTATACATTCACTTTGCCACTTAGTCTTGAACTGGGACATCTCTCAGAATAGGCTTCACTTTATGCAAAGCTTGGAGGACACCACCCCCCTCCCATAAACAAATATTCCGTCATGTAAGCTGCTATTTTGTTTCGTTCAAGGTAATAAACTTTTAAGATGACTGTTTGGGAAAAAGCAGCTACCGGTTAGCAATTGCTCCCGAATCTGCAAAGCAAGTTTAGGAGAGTTTTATTCTTTGAAAAACATGAGCTGGTTTGGGGAGGCAGGTGTGTGCGTTACACAGCAGGTTGCTCTGTGGTCACAGCTCCATCCGACTGTGGTTTCCGCCTCTGCCGGAACCCAAACCCCCTCCCAGCCTAACAGAAATGTTCACTCATGCAGCTAGCCCTGCCTCAGTTTATACCACACTTTCTACCTGTTGGCCGAGACACTGGTTGTTGATGTCCACGGCAACCTCTGGGCACCCCAACATCACGTTCCCTCCACTAGGCAGTGAAGGAGACACTGCACGGCTGCGTGAGGACAAGTGCACGTTCCTTGTGAAACGGACATGTGCCCACTGCTGCTTCATTTTGTGCTGTGCATTATATAGTCCAAGCTTTGTTACAGTTGCCCACAGAGTGTCCTTCCTCATCGTGATCTTACTTTAAGCACCTCCTGTCTCGTGGTGTCCTTGGTCACCTGTTTGTGTCTGTGTGCCTTTGCATACTGCAAAGGGAGTAAGACGTTCCTGCCCTTCCCCACGTTGCTTTCAGCATCTGGCATTTTGTATTTATACCATTTGTGTGCTTCCAAAACATTTTAGTGGCCTATTCATCAAGTATGCTTGCCTGTCCTTTATTTCTTTCATATTGGCACAGTTCCCTGTGTCTAATTAATTTGAGAAGGAAGCAAAGGGGAAAAGCTTCAGTCAGCCATTTTCTGTCCTAGAATTTCCCTGCATTAACCTTGTCCTTAAAAAATATATATCTACTGTTCCCTTAAACTCTAGGAGGCTTTGTGTCATTATATACTATTCTTTTGCTACCCTTTCCCACTTACCTTACCTGTTATTCCTAAGTTCTGTGAAATACCCCTTGGATATGGATTGACTATACCTGATTTTCTCCACTGTGTGTAAAAGGTATATTGTGATTGTAGATTTTTATATGTCATGTTTGTAAGAGTCTCTAATTTTCTGATCTCTGCATCACTGTTCCAAATCCAAGATCTCCAGCTCCTTCCGGAAAGGTTCACACTGCTGTGGCCACCCCAGGAACCCATGTTCCTAGTGGCCTTGATCTCAACACCACTTTCCATGGTCAGCAAGGGGAAAGCCTTGCTTTCCCCCAGCACAGCCCCCCTGCCTCTCCCAACCTGCTTCATTCAACACCATCACCCCCGACCCAGAGCCCAGGATTTTTCCATAAAATGCTGGCAAGGTTCAGAAGGAGGTAAGTGTCAGGTGATCCTAGTTTTAGAGTGAACATAAAGAGCTTAAGGAAAATGTTTTTTGCTGTTGTTGTTGCATGAAGCCACTGCCCAGATATTTTTTATTCTGCTTTCAGCTCATGTTTTTCTGGTTTATATATATCTAACTTTATATGTTAAAACCATTAAAATAGAAATTACAGACCTCAGTCTTTTATCTATACGCAGGGCAGGGTCACTGCAGTTTAGCAGAACTTCAGTTCTGGTGCAAGCGAAGGACTGGTGCCCACAGCAGCCAGCAGGGCGGGCTCTGCCTCCATCCCAGCATCTGTGGACATAAGGAGAGGGACATGTTTCTTTGCTCGCTTCATAGTCATTAATGAGCACTAAGTTTCTTAAAGTCAAAACCTTGAAATTGTTCTCTAAGTTGTCTTGAGAGCAGGATAACTTACTTCAAAGGTATAGTTTTCAAGATGAAACCCCTGGTTTATTCTCAAAAGCTAAATAATATCATCATAGCACATCCAGGGCATAAGAAAGAAAAAATAATATCAAGTTATGTATAAAATGCTTCATGTGTTATTTAGTTAGGCTGCCATTGGTGGCCTTGGAAACTCTAAGGGGTCCTCGAAGGTAATTCTGACTTCATTTCCATCATCTAATAGACATGATGCAAACAGAAATATTGGTTGCTTCCACAGGGAAAAGAAGGATACCACTTTCAAGGGTAACCAAATAGCGAAAGGCATCTTTATCCAGGAACAAGTCCCAGAAACCCAAGAGCCCTGCAGTTTCATGACTACCCTGAAGGCATTCTTTGAAATGAAGGCTGGCGTGGGTTAGTCCGTCTGAGGTTTCCTGCAGGCTTGCTTGGTGGGGCCCTTTTGTCTGTCACTTGTGTCTTAGGACAGCACAGGAGTGCTCTCAGGTCTGCAACAATCAGAGGTCCCCTCCTCTGTTTGTCTGTGCTCCCCATGGTCTGTTAGCACCCTGCTCAGTGTCACACTCTTGCCATTATTAACCTGTAAGCCAAGTGTCACTTTTCAGTCTCCTTACCTTCTCCAGATTAATCATCTATGACTTAGGCGAGTCACATGAAATAGTGTCATCTGTTTATGGTTAGGGTATCAAATGGTAGACACGGGAGGACTCCCGATATCCATTAGCATTAACTGGAGGTCAGGCGAGTCAGAAGGTTTCAGTCACCTTGTTCTCTCCTCAGCCCCATCCCCTTTACTAGGACCCGCCATTCGAGGTCGGCAGAACAGAATGGTCTAAAGGGCCTTGCTGATTTGGGGGCTGGGTTCCTGAGCGGTGAGAGAGACAGTGAGTTCAATCCAGAAAGTCTGTTGACCCCCTGCAATAAATCCTTCCTTTCAGGGTCACCCATGGCCTGTCCCAGTCCTTCTTGTCCCCTAGCTCCTTCCCCAGGAAATAGGGCTAAAATGAAATCTGCCTCTGAAACTTGGGTGGTGGAAGGTGGAGCCAGGTACCATTGATGTGGCTGTTCCCTTCCGCCCCTGCTGAATGTCAACAGGCGTTTCCCCTCTGAGCCCAAGCACAGAGGGGTGTCCAGGTTTGCCTCAGTTCAGAAAGGCAGCTTTGTGTCCGTGCACTTTGTCCCGTAATGGGCTCTTTAAGTAAAACCTTACACGTCATTAAAATCTTTGAGTTTATTTAACTGTCTCCTCTGTGCTCCGTTTTTGGTCATCTTAAGACTATCATTGATAAAAAAAATCAGCTGTCATTATTTGAATGCTTACTACATACTAAGGTAGATAGATGTCTATAGATATTTAGATGCACTCATTTTATACACACCTATTTGTAATATATACACACATTTTTATGTAAAATAACTATATTGATAATACAATATTCATACATACACTCAGTACCTCTCCACAGTCCACCCTGTGGAGTAGATCTTCCTGTTTCATAGAAGACACTGAAGATGAGGTTCAGAGAGGTGAAGGAACTTGTTTGTGGTCCTACAGCAAAGATGTCAGGCAGAGGCAGGTCTGTAACTAGAGGAGGCCCTTCAAGCCACTACACGTGTGGCCCCTTGGAAAACTCAGTGAAGGTCTGGTGCAGGCATGGATCCTTTTCTCTTATTTCCTAATTACATTTATTTCACGTATTTAAATTGAAATGGGAGACAGAGGTTTCTTGTTAAAATAGTCTGGGTGGTTAGCCAGGTGCAGTGCCTCCTGCCTGTAATCCCAGCACTTTGGGAGGCCAAGGTAGGACAATTGCTTGAGGCCAGGAGTTTGAGACCAGGCTGAGCAAGAGTGAGACCCCATCTCTACCAAAAGTAGGAAAATTAGCCAGAGGTGGTGTCACATGCCTGCTACTCAGGGGGCTCAGGCAGGAGGCTCAGGAGTTTGAGGTTGCAGTGAGTGATGATGATGCTACGCACTCCAGCTGGGGCAGAGGAGCAAGAGTCAAACAAAAAGGCTGAGTCTTCAATTAGATGAAGTTTGCCTTCCTGCACACATCAGTTCTTTAGCAGATTATTGCTTTCTTCTCTTCTCTCCTACCTATATATCGTATTCATTCACTAATTGAAAATACTAGCAAGAGACAGGATGCCTGGACCTATGTTAATTTCTGAAACAAGCATATTGACTTCCATTTTCAGCTTTCAATATGTTGGACTTTTTTCTTCTATATGTGAGTGTTTATACAAAATTCCAACGTGAGAACGATTGTGGCTGATAAACACTGTGAAAAAGTTTGAAACAAAGGCTCCACATGCCTTCAATAAGCCTTTACTACCTTCAAAATTTTGCACCAAACATAGGATGGTATTTTTTTTTTTTTTTTTTTTTGAGACAGAGTCTCGCTTTCTTGCCTAGGCTAGAGTGAGTGCCGTGGCGTCAGCTTAGCTCACAGCAACCTCAAACTCCTGGGCTCGAGTGATCCTTCTGCCTCAGCCTCCCGGGTAGCTGGGACTACAGGCATGCACCACCATGCCCGGCTAATTTTTTATATATATATCAGTTGGCCAATTAATTTCTTTCTATTTATAGTAGAGACGGGGTCTCGCTCTTGCTCAGGCTGGTTTTGAACTCCTGACCTTGAGCAATCCGCCCGCCTCGGCCTCCCAAGAGCTAGGATTACAGGCGTGAGCCACAGCACCCGGCCAGGATGGTATTTTTGAAGGCTCACCAAAAGTGGGATTCTTTTCCTCTTGCCATAGGCAATGCAATCAATCTGTGATAGTTTTTACTTTTTCAAATTAGTTTTATTAATTGATTCTTACTAGTGCAATATTTCTGTTTTATCAGCTTTACTCTGTGAGAATCAGAGTTAATCCTTGGTCTGGGGGCAGGGTGCACAGCTTTTGGCAAGTGGTTGCTTTGACACAGGGACCTCTGAGTGGAACTGTGAGTAAGGCTCATGTTGAACCCAGGCGTGCTGAAGGTCAGCCTACTTTCTGCTGATTCCTTGTGAGGCTGCTGCTCTACTTCTGTTACCCGTTTCCAAACATGGCCTGGTCCCAACCATCAGACTAACAGTGCACATCAACTAGGCTTAGGCTTTAGAAGGCTTGATTACATCTTGAATGGTTTGATTCTGTCCAGATGGAGTAGTTTCACAGTGAGTCTTAAACCACTGAGCACAGGCCTGACAGACAGTGCTCAATAAATTCCAGCTTTCATTTTTAATTATAAACTGCTCAGACAAGAATGTGAAGAGTTTTCTTAGCTTACACTAAGTATACCTAATCTCTCAAGATAATGCTGCTGAACAACCTACACAGCAGGGATGCTCTGCCCCACTTTTTCATATGCTTTTAGATATCTGCATGAGGCTGTTTAGACTCCCTTCATTTGAAGACCTCTCAAAGAACTAATGTGATAGTGTTAGGATAAAACACAACAGGATCTTTTCAAAGAAGTGTGAAGTATTGGATATCACTGGCAAAATTTTTAAATTGTCAAGGGGCTTTATTATTTTATCCACGTATCCACTTGTGCTGCACTGAGCCACAGAGATTGAGCAGGAGAGGGCTGATGACAGTTAACATTAAACATGTGTCTTTTGCACTGTGTTTTTAAGTCTGCTTTTGCCCAATCACTGAGTATGCTTTTAATCGGCAGCCAAAACATTTTGTATCAGAATGGTCTGATATGGGCTAGATGTTCTAGCTAACAAATCCAGAGTGCCTGTCATTTAGGAACTTTAAGTGGATTAGAGTTTTAAAAAATAGAATCAGTTATCGATACAAAACAAGAATATTAATAGGAATTCAACTTCATGCAACTTTAATTTTAAGAAATACATTGCTATTTTGTAAATTAAGATTTAAATGTAATACAGCTACTGTTTTGCTTATATAGATTGTTGTGGGTTAGACTGCGAAATATAACCACCACTTTGAATACTTTTCTAAGGGAAAAATATTGCTCAAACTTTCATAACTACCAACTTGAGGAAGTTTTACAATATGCAGCCCATTGTGATATTGGGGCTGTCTGCATAAATAGAATTTTTGTGAGTTTGATTGTACAGACATGTGAAGGGGATGTCCCTGGGTCAGACTGGCTAAGACCCAAAGTCAGCAGAACGGGAGCACATTGCCTGTTCCTAAAATCAGCAGGACGTGACCTGTTGACCAGCAGAGAGAACTGTTCCTCCGGGCAAATGGCCAAAGACCTGGTTTCACATGAGAGCCAAGGTTGTCTGTTATCTGCACGTGGGACCAGATGTTGCAGACGGCCAAGGACCTGTGGTTTCACACATGAGCCAAGTTTGTCTGTTATCCACACGCGGTACCAGACAGAAGAGAGAATGTAAACTTCTTCTCTTGTGCTGTGAAACCAAGCCGGCGTCTTGTTATCCACAAACGGTATCAAGAGTTGAAGGGCATCTCTTGTGCTATGTCTGGGGGAACAAGTGCTGTTGGCCCGTGGGAAGTCACATACCAAAAAGTAGCTGGGAAAATAGCTGGCATGAGAAAATAGCTACGGGACGCTTGCCCAATTAAACAGTATAAAAATAAAACGACTGGTGCTTTAAGTGCTGGAGTCTTAAACCATCTTTGTGTCTGTGTACTTTTTTTTCTAGGACTGCAGCCAATTCTCTTCTGTGCACGTTTTATGTCTATGTCTTTATGTGCATCATCCCCCATCCTGCAAGGAGGCCACGACAGACGTGAAAATCAACAGATATTTCCTGCGTTTACAGTTTCCTGAATCGAGGTGGTGAGCCTACTGTAGAAGTCAGAAACAAAATCGGTTTTGCAGCTTCATTTGTAGAACTTGTAATGTAACATGAATAAAATTTCTGAAGAAATATCTGACTTTAAAATTAATATTATGT